AATGTCTTGTCGATAGCGGAAAAGACCAGGGTTCCAATTCAGATACAGGCTCTCGAAGTGTTGTATGACCTGCTCCAATCCAATCCAGAATGTCGTCGGATGCGGCCGATCCTGAGTGGGGACACTATCCCTGTGATAACTCTCAAGGCTGTAATTAGAACCACGACTGGAGGTAGATGCAGGCGGATCCATGGCTGTCACAGCCGAAGGGCGAGGACCGCGCCAGCCTTTGCCTTCGACCCATGGATTCTTGATAAGCAACAGACGATCATGCTCCGTCTCCCTCATGTCCAGCACGACGTAACTGTGTTGGCCCTCGAGACCAAGTTCACGCTCCTGCCTGGTCGACATCTTGCCAGTACCTGCTGTGACCAGAACATCGCCGTACAGGAAGGCGTTGTGTATGCGCTTCCATATCTGATCTGGAACCGTATCGGCTCTATAAGAGTTAGTATGGTCAGCTATGGGATTAGAGAAGAAACAACTTACTCTTGCAAGAAGACCTGTTCTGGTATCCAGCCCGTCAAGGTCCAGAGATCACTGCACGAGTTGCTTCCAGGGAAATCGTAACCGCCGCGAACTTTCAGGTATGCTTTCTCAAGTAGTGCTGGCCATAAGAGGGCTGGATTACGGCGGTCGAAGACATGAAGCAGACGATGTGTCTTTGAGACTGGTAGTCGATCATCGATAACCACCTTTCTCCAACAGCCGTTGAAGTTGAGTCGTACGATGTACTTGCCATTAGATGAGGTTAACGGCTTTCCAAGGTGCTTGTCATATGGATATATCTTGTTCGTGAGCATCTGCCACATTTAGTACCGAGAATGCAGAAATTCTGGGGATGGCAAACCTGATCGTGACCGCGTTCTGAGCGAGCAATACCAGCGCATAAGCTTGTGACCACCGAGCAATCTGAAGCTGCATCCTGTACAAGATCGAGAGGCCTCGTGCTAGACATCAAGGGCCCGATACCAGCCCTACCGTTAGGGAACTGCGAGGGTGGCGGCACAGCCTCTTTGGCACGCAGCCAACCGAGAAAGAACTGCTGTTGGTATGAAGACAGACTCAGATCTCGTGTATCCCTGTCGCTGTCAGTATGTCTGAACAACCCCCAGTATGACCATCAGGTAACGTACGTGTAGGCAGCCTCGCCTTCCGACACGAATTCATCCGCAGATGGAGTCTTGTCCCAAGGTGGAAACTTGAAGCCATTAACTGTCGAGGCTTTCAACAAGATGATACTTTCTTTTGTTGGTAGTTTCCTGCTTGAGATCGGCTCTCGTAGCCTGTGTATCTGAGAATGAGGTGCGGTTGAGGGGGTTAGAGCTGCTGTTTGCGACCCGGGTACTCCAGACTGGGACTCTGCGCTAGAGGGCTGTGGCACTGTAGATGACTTCAATACGAAATCGTGTCCATTTTTCGGATGGTGATCACGGTCAATGTTGGCGTTTGAGCTATCTTCGTGTGACGCATCAGTGACTGCACTTGGTACATCGATTGGAAAGGCGTCATCCGAAAGATTAATAAGCGGCATTAGATCTCGGCGCGCATCTTGCTGGAAAGAAGGAACGGCTGAAGAGAGATCTGACTGATGAACGAATGCTGAGAACGAAGAAGCTGATGATTTACCTGAAGCTGCTGGACCGTCGATAGGTCCTGTAGTCGAAGAAAGAGCCCAGCGGGACGTGTTTGAACGCGAAGTCGAGTCTTCAAAGGTTTTACCTGGAGTTGCAGTCCCGGCGACCTCCTTGGCCCATTGACCTACTCGCTCATCTCTGGAGCTGGAGGACTGGGGTTTGACTAGAGGTGTCCATGTCTCATCGGCCTTGATGCGATCGGCACGAGTCAACATCTCGCTGCATTGCGCCTTGAGCTCCTTCCTTTCGTCTGGGTTTGACGATAGTTGGATCGCCTCCATGAGGTTCTCGGCCACGCTGATTGCAAGACTGAATGCTTCATCCTTGGTAGCGGCTTTGTCAACCCGCGAGCGATAGTCCTGGTAGCTTGATTAGTTGGGACTACAACGCGGGACTTGATGTTGCAGCGAGAAGTTAGTTGTCTGTATCACATACGCTTGCGGCCGCCTTGTAAGCCTCAATCTCAGTGGCCCGGCCAGCCATCGTAAATGGCTTGAGACAGGACACGGTAAGAGAAATTTGATCAATACTAGCAGCGACGACGAAGCTACTTGCGTTGTGCCATAGCGATGCGACTGACTATGGGTGAGTGGAGTCAAAGGCGCACTAAGAAGCTGTGATGGTGCTTTGGTGTTGTGATGTGATCTGGGGCGGACTCTTAGCGCGACGCACGTTCCTGCCAAACGGCCGTCGCGACTGCCAGTTGCAGCAGGAACAGCCAGTTCCAGCGCATAAGTGACGAATCTAGACGTCTCCTTCCACGTGAGAGGCATATCCAGCCAGGCACGGCTTGCTCACTTTCACCGAAGTGATCGACAGCGGCTGCGGTGAAGGAAGGTCCAAGGGAGCAGGGTGTGTCGTCATCCGAACCTGAACCTCGGCCTCTAGGACCTCGGGAGAGGTCAGCCATGCATGCGACAGCGCTATCGCGTTGCGGGCACCATGAACGTCCCCTGCCCGCTTTTTCTAACTTCCGATGCTGCTATCTCCAGTCTTCAGATTATTACTGTCATGATGAGATAGTCCGAATTAGTCGCTGATTCCACACCATATCCTCCGCCCGTCACACACTCCGCAGTCGCAACACTTCGCCAAGCCTTAGCAACTGTGCTCGACTACCACTATGGCCGGCCAGTCAAAGGTAGAAACTCTTCCACCATGGGGTAATGCTGTCGCAGGCGCCGCTGGTGCCGTCATCGCAAACACCCTTGTCTACCCCCTAGATTTGTACGTCGCAAATTCCCCGAGCCTTTTTGGGCAGAACGCAAAGATACTAACACAACCTCAGGATCAAGACGCGACTACAGGTCCAGGTTAAGCGCTCGCCTACGTCCAACGACCCCAATCCCGCCGACCACGAACACTACGATGGCGCCATCGACGCGTTGCAGAAGGTCTTTGCGCAGGAGGGTCTTTCTGGACTATACGCCGGCATAGGAGGCTCTCTGCTCGGCGTAGCATCGACCAACTTCGCCTATTTCTACTGGTATACCGTTGTACGCAGCCTCTACATGGCGAACCGCACGCTTCAAACGTCACCGAGCACGCCGGTCGAACTCTCCCTTGGAGCGCTCGCGGGAGCGCTCGCCCAGCTCTTCACAATCCCGGTCGCAGTCATAACGACGAGGCAACAGACCATGAGCAAGGCGGAGCGCAAGGGCATGATCGCTACGGCTATGGACGTGGTCAACGGTGATGACGGCTGGACAGGGCTTTGGCGAGGACTCAGGGCGAGTCTGGTGCTCGTCATCAACCCATCAATCACATACGGAGCGTACCAGCGATTACGGGAAGTCATGTACCCAGGAAAGAAGACGCTGAAGCCCCTCGAGGCGTTCCGTAAGCCATGGCCACTACCATAAGTCAAGGAAAGCTACTAACATCTGTCAGTCATCGGTGCCATGTCCAAGACGCTTGCCACAATCGCAACCCAGCCGCTCATCGTCGCGAAAGTCGGTCTTCAATCGAAACCTCCACCAGCAAGGAACGGAAAGCCTTTCAAGTCCTTCACCGAAGTCATGCAGTACATCATACAACACGAAGGTCCGGCGGCGCTATTCAAGGGCATCGGACCCCAGATTCTCAAGGGTCTGCTCGTCCAGGGTTTCCTCATGATGACCAAGGAGCGCATCGAGCTCTCCTTCATCCTGCTCTTCCGATACTTCCGCCAAGTACGCGCCGAGAAGCTACAGAAGCTGGCGAACATTGCGGCAGAAAAGGCCGGTAAGGCAGCACCGATACTGGCCAAGTAGGCCTTGGCTTGCTGGCATATCCTTACCTTCATCTCAAGTGTATATATTCGACTTTATACTTGGTTACGGAGGCGGATTGGCCGAGCGTTGTGTTGATTACAATATGGCGTTTGGCATTGATTGTTACCGCGGTTATACACATAGTCTGTCTTGTAAGCATTCTTGAATTTCTACCATTGTGTACACTGTGCTGGTGATGTGTCATGACCATAGTCGCGGCCACGCTAGCGGAGGCGCCGTGCGGAGGCTGTGAAGAGATCCGAGCAACAATGTCCATTCACGCAAAGAAAACCTTAACTAGAACGCCACGCTAATTCTCCGCTAATGTGCCACTACATCACACCGGTCTTCATTCTAGCGCTTCTCACTTCTCAGGTCCATCAACAATTAGGAACACTGCCCAGGTAATCACGTACATTTGACTCACAACTCATTGATATCGCCATAGCTCCAAAACCTTACTCCTACCACCTACTGCAAATCCACAGCATCCGTAACTACAGATGTGCTATCTCCGACCTACAAAGTACGCATGCGGCCATATTTCCCCTATCCACAAGCCAGGCCGCCAACGCCCAAGTGCCAAAGAGGATGCTAATCAATCAGACCCATACGCTGAGGTAAGATCTGAGGCATACGAAATGCATACAAGACATACACTGACTTCGAAATAGTGGCCAACACATGAGGACACTACGTTGAATGGGTGCCAGGATTCTAATCGTAGAGGTGCGCGATGCCCGGACCTTTTGGAGAACTTGGAGGTGGTATATCAAGACGAAGAGGGCGGCGAGTGTGATGAGTGTAAGGCGAAGAAAAAGTGCACAGTCTTGTAGGGAAAGATGCTGTGAGACGATTGAGGGTAGTAAAAAAAAGCTATCAATCACATTGATAGGAAGGTAGGTCTTATAGTCGCGGTACAAACTGCCTCTCATTGGTAGCGATGCTCATCGCAATGTCATGTAATCTACGAAGATATTTGTGCGGGCTGACAAGTATCTACCAAGTGGCTGCCGAGTAATGATATATCCACGTATGCCGATGTACGCGACGGCAAGCAAGCTATTCATACATCCTAGTGACTCCTTCCCATAAGTCCAGTTCGGAGGCCTCATGCATGATAGCCCTGTACCTCTTTCTCTCTTTCGCCTGATATTTGTTAGATGTGTTTCAACTGTAGGGAGGAACTCCACCTACCCTGTACTCCACAGCCTCGCGGCTCTCGTCCCCATAGCTAGGAGGATCAAAGCTTTCATCGCAAATGTTGGCTCGCCGAGGAAAAGTGAACAGTGTGGGAAACCATTCATCATCGTATGTCTGCCACATTTCGTAGGCATCCGAGGCAGTGTGGACGGTCTCAAGAACTCCTTCGCTTCCACGTGTGGGGTGCCATGGAGTGACGCAGTCAGTGTGCACTATGGTCAACTTTTCGAGCGCAGCGCAATGCTCGAAGAACTTCATAGCGACAAAGTGTTCATTTTCGTCAAGATCATGATCACACAGCATCTCTCCAAAGACACTGCCACATCCTGACCCGTCATCAGAAAATTGGTCTTCCAGATCTGCGTCAGTGATCTGTTGTGCGGCAGTAATAACGACATCGGTCAGCTTTAGAAATGAGCCAAACGTTTTAGCAAAGGTCTGTAGCCCAGTCAATATCGAAATATGCGAAGGGGAACGGTGCCTATCGCGCTCGCGCTTACACTGAGCTTTTCTTGGCCGAGGGTGCCTCGTAAGGCTAGACTCTCGATCTCCGGTAGAAATTGGTGCAGGCGTTGCACATCTTTCCCGCGCCACGTGTCGAGGCAGATTTCGAAAAGCTTCAGGTTCTTTGAAGCTCCAGCCGCAAGCATCAAATCATCGTGGTCGAGGTTGTACTCTAGAGCTAGTATTTCGACATTGGGACAAGCCTCCACGAGGAAAGCCCAACTGCCATGTGATAGAATACGCAGACGAATAATGCTAGAGAGTAGAAGTGGGTCTCGTTGGAACGTGGCTTTGAGACCGGATATGTCGACATCCTTTCGATGTGTGATAGACAACTCGGCAAGAGAATGCATCTTGGCAAGTGTTCTGGGAAGACGAGTCCTGCAGAATGTGTTCTTGCGTTCTGACGTCGCGACGATGTCACAGGTCCTTCGTGCTTCACATTAGTATACTGGTTGAAAACGTACTTGCAGTCCGCACTGCCCAGTTCCGTACGTACTTGATAGCCGGTAGAACCAGGGGGAGTGATGGGATAAGCGGGTTGCCCTCTATGTCTCTCAATCGCCGATTGAGATCTCCCATAGAGGACGCATAACGAAAAACGTGCGTGAACAAAACAGGCATAGCAATTGCCCGCATCCTCTTACTCACAAGCGATACGCAGAATAGGGAGCTTCCTTTCGTGCGGTAGTCGAATTTCGTCTTTGGCACTGCGTGTCTAGGTCTCCGGTACTCAGATGTCTGTTCCTCGCAAATGAAATCAATGACGATGGCAAGAACATCATTATTTAGATCTTCGAGAGTGAGTTGTTGAAATGGGATTGCCTGAGGATAATGAGTTCCTTGCTCAGGTTCCGCTGTGGGTTGCGGTTGAGCTGGGGGATGAGAAGGTAACCACTGTGAGGCACAAACATCCCAGAATCGTAGCGCCGGTGTTAGTACGGGTGCTTGAGGAAAGCCATGAGCACGAACGTTGGCGAGATGTTCCAGCACTCGTTGGTACCTTTGTGGATCCGGGTCAGGTAACGTAGATGGGTTAGTCATGATTAGTGTGAGTGATCAACTTCCACCGAGTGGATTCGTATGCCTCAGATAACCTCGAAGGACCTGCTGCCGGTGATCAGCTGCGTTGCGGTGCGAGATGAGCTGAGAGGAAGAGTGCTGAGAGAAGGTGAGAAGGAGCCGGTAGACGCGCCTCATTGCTCGCGTGGCTAGCGCGTCACTTTAGTCCGCATTCGGCGAAAGGCCCTTCCAAATACTCTCGGGTCGCCCTTCCGTCATCCTGTGATGGGAATGTCTAGGTGTAAAAGTTTCGGCATACAAGACGATACAATCTCTCAAAGAGCGAGATAAGGCGGGGCTCACACGACTTTGATTCTAGCCTGACCGCACAAAATGCATGTGTGCGCGGGCATCGACATGATCTCGAGGAACAGCAATAAAGCAGGATAATTTAGCATGCATGCTTACGAAACACACGCTGTAGCTTGCCAATCTCAAGCTTCAGCTGGAACCTGAGCGGGCTTGTACGCAATACCCGGTACAAAAGTGGAAATGGTTGTGATTGACGTCATCGATACAAGGGCGTGTCATACTAAGGTCAGTAACTACACAGACTGTTTAAACGTATCCATTTCAACAGCACACTCCCATCCCAGTAGCAATCTGTGTCTAGCACGATCATGTCCGAGTCATCAAATCAATTACCATGGCACTCCATACCGTCATCCATCGCAACATGCAAAGTCCACCTCATTCAGGCCGGCGGCATCCACATACCTACAGACATGGTCTTGCTTCCGGGTCCGGACAAGCCGCAAGACCCGAACGACTCTAAAGACGAGAGTGGAAAACGAAAGTCGTTCTATGCTCCAGACTATGTGTTCCTCATCGAGCACACAGCCACCGGGAATAAGTACATTTTCGACTTAGGCATGCGAAAGGATCTGGAGAACCTTCCGCCTCTGCTCGTCGAAGGCGCTTTACCAAACTTCAAGTGCGAACCAAAGTCTCCAGCCGAGATACTGCAAGAGCATGGATCACCTGATCAACAGCCCGAGAAAGTCAAGGCCGTCATCTTCTCGCACATGCACTTTGATCATGTTGGCGATGGAGCCAAAGCTGGATTTGAAGAGGCGGAGTTGTGGGTTGGACCGACCTGCTGTACCTACGCGAGACCGGGTTATCCGGTCGATGAGAAGGCTCCTACGCTTAGCGAGACGTTGCCGGTTGATGGTAGCAGAAAGATTGTGGAGAGCTATGTACCAGATGATATCTTGAGAGAAGCAGAAGATAAGAGGGCAGGTCAGGTCATGGAAGGCATGGTCAAGGGAAAGTATGCTGCTGTCGATCTAAAGAAGCCTCAATGGATGGGTCTCGGTTCATTTGATCGCGCATACGACATCTTCGGTGACGGCTCAGCATACATCGTAGATGCGCCAGGACACTCTCCGGGCCATCAAATGATGCTAGTGCGAACGACATCGAGCTCGAATGAGGAAGAGAGTACTTTTGTACTGCTGGCTGGTGACTGTTACCACCACCTTGACGTTCTCAAAGAGCCCAAGCGCACTGCGAGACCACCATATGCGAAGTCAGGCATGCACGCCGACCCAGAACAGGCAGTGGATACAATGTCTCGCACGAGAGAATATTCGCGCAAAGACAACGTGTGGGTCATTGGAGCCCATGATACCAGTGTCGGCGAGGGCATCAAGCCCGGAGTGAGGGAGATAGAAGGATTGGTAGAGATCAACGATTGGTCAGCGAAGGGTTGGAAAAAAGGAATGTAGAACATACCAAAGTATCACGATGACCAATTCATCGTAAACAAACTATAGGGTTCACCCTCCATCGATCATCGTATTTGCAATCATTCACATGCTCCGACACCAAGCTCTTGGCTCCCGAGACACCAAAAGCTTGACCACCGTCTCCTCTCCCGAATTTGCGTCACACTGTCCGCGGCCCACCCATGGCCACCGCGTCCTGACAAGGACCACGCAACCCCATCGCTCGGTAACAAGCGTAGATCCCGCGGAGTCCGAGCATTGCCGTTACCCGTGGCGAGGAGCGGTTCATCTCGCGATGCGGCACGCAGGGTTTCGGAGTGTTTGAGTGGCTTGGACGCATGAACGACAGTGGCGTGATACTGGTACTTGGGATCAACGGCTGCCTGAAATCTAAGGGAACCAGGCTAATTAGGCTGATCTTGGAATTGGCAAGTCTGGACAGGTAGATCGGCATGGCATGTTGTGGATGCTGACATTTCGTATTCGAATTGCATCATTAAGAATTCTATGGGATATCGTAGACGTTGAACATGTGTCTTTAGCCGCTTGCAGCTTTCAAGATTAACCAACAACAACCAAAAAGAGGAGCGAATTATATACAACCATGTAATAAGTGACAATTCGCTCAATATAGCAAATGGTATACTTCTCATCTTTTTCTCCGCGTTCCTTATCATAACCCCACGACTGCGTCTAGAAGTTCTCTTTGCCCCACACGTAACTGAAGCCGGGCTCAGAATACATGTTGCACTTGACGTGGAGCGTTGAACCAAGACCCTTGGGTCCACAGAAGAAGACACCGGCTTCGGCGGGTGAGTGAATCTTGCGGATGGACTTGAAGATCATGTCCCAGTTAGGGCGACCGAAGTTTGTGGGTGCGCGGAGACCGGTGATGGCGTCTTGCTCTGCATTTGCGTCGTTGATCATGATGTTTGTCGCGTCGTCTGCCTTGATCTTTGCTGTGAGGTACTGTGAAGAAGGTTAGTAGATCGTCAAGAGCCAGTTATGGACATAAAACTTACGGTGTGGATCTCGATGTGATCATCGATATCTTGCGCCTCGATAGCCAGCAGCAACGATCTGAACCATTCGAAAGATCCGAAGTCTCTGCAGATCCAGAAGAAGTAGACCTTCCTCAGTCTCGTACGGGATCCTTGAGGGTAGTTCATGCGGTACCAGATACTCTTAAGAATGGACGCGAAAGGTGTGACACCGATACCGGCACCACAGAGAACGGCGACTTCGAACTTGAATACATCCTCAGAGGCCGAACCGAAAGGACCATCAATGTAGACTCGGGGAAGAATTTGACGCAAGGCGATCTCTTCGCTGGACCCACCCTTCTCACCCTTCTCGCCGGCTGGCTTCTTGTCTGTGTTGCAGCCAAGCGCCTGTCCGAAAGCCTTGGTGAAGTTACCGACCATACGAATGTGCACCGAGATGTAGTCTTCCTCGGGTGCGCTGGTAAGCGTGAAGGGATGGTATTGCCAGATGGAGATCTCAGGGCAGCACAAGAAGATGTACTGTCCAGCACGGGTCTTGGTGTGCTCCTTCTTGATCTGAACTTCGCAAACGTTGCTGGGGTGCTGGATGACCTTGGAGATATACGTCTTGTGTCGTCCTCGTACTTCACGGGCAATTCGCTCGGCCAGGTACGCAAATCCACCATACATCCAGTACTCCCAGAAGACACCGATACCGTCGCAGAAGGGCGCAAAGTCGGGCTGAATCATGCAGAAGGCTCCGTGGATGGACCAGAAGATGAAGAAGACGATGAACAGATGGTGCATGTACCAGAAACGTTCGAAGTTGGCGCGACGAGCCTTCTCCGCAGCCGTGACAGCGATCGCCATGAGCGCAGTCAGCATAACGTAACCACTCCATCCAGGTCCAGTTGCAAGGTTGGCAAGGATAAAGCCCATGAATCCCAGGTTATTGGAAGCCGAAAACTTGGCAAGGTTGTTCCAATGGGCGATAGTGTGGACCCACGAGAAGAAGACGATAGACCAGGCGACCAGCTTGTGGAAGGTGATGTTCTTGTCGAAAGGAATAACGTCGTTCAACGGCGTACGACGAGCCATGGAGATTAAGTTCCTGCATACCGGGAAGAGGATGAAGGCAACGTCGACGTGCAATACGAGAGCGGCTGAACGAGCAATGGGGAAGGTCAGACCAAAGGTTTGTCTTGAACCAATGGAGTTGTCCTAGGACGTGTGAGCGGTTTTCGTCGTGATCTGAGCTATCCAATCATACCTTTAGCCCGTAGTTCATCATACCAAAGACGAAGACCATGACGTGCAATATCGCAAATGTAAAGACAAAACTATATACGTTAGTTGAGGCTCTTCACATGCGGTGTAGTGTAACGTACAATCTTCGGTAACCCTCATTGACCATCCACACATCGAATTTCTCTTTCCGGGTCAACTCTCGCGCCTTTTGGTCCGACATCTCTCCGGACATGAGCATGCGCGTCAGCGGCGGCCATCGTGACCGCTCACGACCTGTGAGACTGGTGGTGTACGACATAGTTATCAGAAGAAGCGAACGTAGCAGCGATT